CAACTTTAAGACTTGTGGACTTCAACTCCCAGAATTCCTCAGCCAGCTTTGCTGGCTGAGGAATTCTGGGAGTTGAAGTCCACAAGTCTTAAAGTTGCCAAGGTTGGACACCCCTGATCTAGGTCCTCATTTTAACCATCTCGGAAGGATGGAAGGATGAGTCAACCTTGGGCCGGTCAGGATCGAACTGCAGAACTGTTGGCAGTCAGCAGTGAGCCAAGCGAGCGTGCAATACTGCATTCTAACCACTGAGCCACCAGGGCTAAGCTAAGGGAAGGAGCCATTTAAGGGTGCAGTGCAGTTCCTCCCGGCTTCTCTCCCCAAGGAAAACAAAAATTAAAGCTGGCTCTTGTTAAATCGTTTCGCACCTTCCTACTTTGCCAAGCCCTTCCTTTCTCAGTGGGCTCTGCTGAATTCAGCTTCCCCTCTCACCTGAGAACGACAGGTCAGGGCGTTGAAGAGGTCAAAGAAAACAAAGCAAGTGAAAGTCATTGTTGTCGTCCGGGGCGTTATGCCACTTTCCGGAAGCTGGAAAGGCAAGGTGAAAAAAAAGTGTCTTTGAAAAAGAGGAGGAGGAAGAGGAGAAACCGAGCGTCAGCACAACATATCAAAGCCCCTCCCACCTCACAATGAACCTTTTGTTGGTAAAGTCACAATCGCCTTGAAAACGGGTTGCCCTTCTTTTCAAAGAAAGATTTGGAAGGAAGGCAGTCGTGCCAAAGCATATAAATATCACGGGCTTAAATCTGCACCTGTTGACAGACAAGCCACCAGCAGGTTGATGAAAGCCTAATGCCCAAAAAATGTGGCCAATTTTGCCACTCTGTGCAATTTCCACCTGCAAAAAGGGCCAATGTTGCTTTTTTTAAAAAAGGCAACTAGACTTAATTTGTTTCCCATCTCGTCCGAGAAGCATCTTCAGTTCTGACCGAATGGTGGGAGAACGGAAGGATTTCTATTCCTTGCAGTCATCTGGTCGTTGGCACTCTGAGAGTCACCGAGATTTATGTTCGCCCTCAGGGTCACCTGAAGAGCGCCAACAGATGTAGGGCCTATTTGGAACTGCTGAAACATCTTCCAGGAAAACCTAGTGGTGCTTTTTCCAAAGGCAACTGGACTTCCTTCATTTTTGCTTGAAAAATGTTTCGCTTCTCATCCACGAGGCGTCTTCAGTTCTGAAGAAGCTTCTTGGATGAGAAGCTAAACGTCTTCAAGGAAAAAAACAAAACCCAAGGAAGTCCAGTTGCCTTTGGAGAAAGCACCTTTGGGACAACCCTGATCTAGATGACTGAGAATCTTCATAAACACCTGCATCTTACATCTTTACTGAGAAAGCCTTTTGCGTGTCTTCAAAAGAAAAAAGCTGATCTGGAGTTTCCAATTCAACCAATTTGAATGTCCTCATCCAGAATGCAAATCCATGAGCCAAGCAGCCAAGGCTCCTTCTCTGAGTTGGTTGCATTAAAGGAGGTAAAAAACAAGGTCACAAAAGGGTGATGGAACCAGGAAGGGTCTTAGGATGATCTACCTACAATCTCACCTCCTTCCAAAAGACGTAGATGGTCCCCATGATGATAATGGTTGCCGAAAGGATAATTTTTAGGATCAGGGACTTGCTGAGAATTGTATCCGTGGTGTTTCTTGGAGGTTTTTTGATAGCATCTTTGTCGACTGGTTCAACCCCCAAACTATATAATGATGATGACGATAATAATAATAATAACAACAACAACAACAACAACAACAACAACAAAACAACAACAATAATAATAACAATAACTAACAATAATAACAACAACAATAACAACAATAATAATGACATTATTTTACAAACAACAGACTAACTGCTTATTTATATTTACTATGGAAATGGCCATAGATAGATTTTGAATCTCTAAGGCATGTTGGACTACAGCGGACCAAATATGGACAGTGCTAAACTTGGATATTAAGTAGGGATACTGAAATGCCACTTATGAAGAAAATAAGTTGTAGTATCGTCTTACTCATGGGGTCCTTGGTGCTCTCTGCACTTGGTTGCTTTCTTGCAGACGTTTCATGACCCAACTAGGTATCATCACTGCTAGCACACAGTCCTAGCACTGATGATGTGATCTAGTTGGGTCATGAAATGTCTGCAAGAAAACCACCAAGGTCAGAGAGCACCAAAGACCCACAATTCAATCGTCAGCTACAAATAATCTCTTCACTCGTAGTTGTCTGAATCCTTGGGGGGAAAAGAGAAAGGGATTTGATAATAGTTCTGTAAACTGTAACTTCAAAAGAACTGATCATTGTACAAATACTGAGCGCATATATTTGTCTTTGGTCGATTTGTAGCTTGGTGAAAGGATGGGCATCAACCAGTTTTCCCTCAAAATCACTTTTCATATCCAATTTCAGACAGGAATTTTCAACTTCTATTTTAATTGTATATTTAAGTCTTCATGGAAGAAGCGCAAAGAAATCAGATCTAATTTTCATCCTGGGGTTCTCACCTTTGAGCTGGAGGGCCATCCATGATGATATTGATCCATAAGATCTGCATAGCATTGAGTGGATTTGGCAGGTTGAATATGGTGGACAGAGTTATTAAACTTAGAGCGGAGATGCTCCTAAAGGAAGAAAAGCAGGAGAGAAAATTTAATCAACATTCTCCGCCCTTTTTGAAAAACAGCTTCCGTTCTATTTCTTCTTTGTCATGACTTACGTGCTAAGTTGAAATCGAACAAAGTTCTTAATGTTGTAAAATATGCCCTTCCCTTCTTCTATGGCGTGTCTGTTGGGAAGAAAACACAACGTCCATACTCGGATCTAAATAGTTAAGCTCAGACAGAACATCATCCATTTTTTTTTTAATAAAACCATTTTTATTTAGATATTTATCTCAACAGAAATAACCCTGAAGTCATTTCATACACTCTTCTGAGGTTCGTCCCAAAGGTGCTTTTCCAAGACCCAACTGGACTATCTGGGTTTTTTTTTTCTTTGAAGACATTTCACTTCTCATCCAAGAAGCTTCTTCAGCTCTGACCACCATCTGGTCAGAGCTGAAGAAGCTTCTTGGATGAGAAACGTGTTCAAATTAAAAAAAAAAAAACAGTCCAGTTTTCTCTTGAAAAATCACCTTTGAGACAACCATGATCTAGAGCAGTGGCCCCCAACCTTTTTTGAACCAGGGACCGGTTTCACGATTATTTATTCTTCCACGGACCGGTACCTGAGTAACGCGAGACTCCACCACCATCGGGACGGCTCTTCATTCGAAGCCGCCCCCCCCTTCGACGAAACTAAGGCGCGAGCACCCAAATGCCGCTTTCCAACTGAAAACCCGGAAGCAACCGAAAACCCGGAAGCGCCGTCGAAACAAGATGGTGGCGCCCAAGCTTTGCGGCCCGGTAAAAAATGATCCACGGACCGGTACTGGTCCGGGGACTGGTGGTTGGGGACCCCTGATCTAGAGGATTGAGAATCTCCACAGATACATTCTGAAGTTCATTACTGCCTCGGTTTTATTACCATTGCCCAGGAACCAGTGGGAAATTTAATCACAGCAATTAGCCTCCATTTTAGGTTTCCCCCAATTCTACCCTCTTCTTTTTCAGTGGAAAAAAGGGGCATGAGTGTACACTCAGGAGTGCTCAGTGGGCTGTTCTGTGTTACACGTTAACATCAGTGACCCATGGTGGCGCAGTGGTTAGAGGGCGGCACTGCAGGCTACTTCTGCTGATTGGCATCTGCCATCAGTTTGGCAGTTCGATCCCAACCGGCTCAAGGTTGACTCAGCCTTCCGTCCTTCCGAAGTCAGTAAAATGACGATTCAGATTGTCGGGGGCAAGAGGCTGACTTAAAAAGAGGGCTGTAAAGCACTATGAAGCGGTATATAAGACTAAGTACTAATGCTATTACGAAAATCCTGCCGAAACTGAAATACTTTGTTCATAATCTGTGTGCAAGGTATTCAATCCAGACAGGAAGCGACGACTGTGTGATGACCCAAAGGGGGATGGCACAAAGGCAACACAGATGATCAGTAGGAGTCCCTTTATTAGCTCTGGCTTTGCCCCCAATGTCTGGTTACCTTCTGGCTGGAGAAAAAACTCTCCCAGGAACAGCCTTTGGCTGCAGAGAATCAAGTCCAAAATGTGGTCAACAAAAACTGTAACTTAAAGTCCAATCAAGGCAAAATGAGGTAATTACTCCGGCAGGGCAGGAGCAAGAATTCCAGATGTGAAGGCATGGCAATAATTCAACATGGTTGGGAAGATGCCAGGAACACAGATAAGCAAAGTCAACACAAGATAAACTCATGCTTGCTCCCAGCAGATACCACACTCAGCTTGCATCTCTTTTAAACTCTCATTCCCAGGTGTGGCTAATGAAGGGAATCAGGGCCCTTTCCTCCCCCATAAACCATGCAACCCACGTTGCTCTCTCCTCCATAACTCCCTGCGTGCCCTAGGATGAAGAAGGGGTGGACCTGGTTCTTCCTCTGAACTCCCTCTCCCTTGTTCTACCTCGTCCCTGCTCTGCCCAGCCAGACTTTGCCCATCCCCAGTTTCCTCCACAGCCAATGGAGCCACACTCCCACTCCCTGTCAGCTGTTTGTCTTCCTCCTCAGATTCAGACTCCGCCAGAGGCATGACACACTAAACCGCTTAGAGAGGGCCGTAAAGCCCTGTGAAGTGGTATATAAGCCTAAGTGCCATTGCTATTAAAGGAGTTTTAGGAAGTGTGTATGTCAGAGAAACAGTTCTGGCACAAACCACTCACATGATGGCTGAGAAGTTGTCATCCACAAGAATCATGTTTGCAGCCTCCTTGCTTACATCCGTGCCTGCCCGTCCCATCGCGATCCCAATGTCGGCAGACTTCAAAGCCACAGCGTCGTTCACTCCGTCCCCCGTCATTCCCACGATGGCCCCAGCCTTTTGCAAAGCCTACGGACGTCACAGATGAGTTTAAACCTTGGCCTTCACCTGGTGGACAGAAGCTTTGACTTGAGGGGGGGGGGAAAGGAAGCCCATTTAAATTGCAGACAATCCTTGACGTACGACCACAATTGGAACCGGAACATCTGCTAAGCAGTGCAGTTGTTCAGTAAGTCACGCCCGATTTTATGACCTTTGTTTGCTGTGCTCGTTAAACGAATCACATTAAGTCATTAAGGGAATCTGGCTACCCTCCCCATTGACTTCGCTTGGCAAGATCCCCTGGATCTTGTCACCCCAGGACACTGCAACGGTATGAGTTCCGGTCATACGTCACTTTTTTCAGTGCCGTCGTAACTTTTGTAGAGATTTTCTTTGTACGTGGCTGCCATTATTAATTTACAATTTTTCATCCAAAGTTTTTCCCAATCCTCTAGTTGTATGTTGTATCCGAAATTTTTCATCCAGGCAATCATTGTTTGTTTCACTGCCTCCTCTTCTTTATCAGATTTTAGGAGGGAGTTATATATTTTGGATATACATTTTTCCTCTGGTCCTAATAAAACTTTGTCAATTTGCTGCAGAATTTTATCTATGCTAAATTCTTCTATATCTTTTTTGTATTTTGTTTGCACCTCCAAATAAGGCCACCAATCTATCATTATTCCTTCTTCCTTCAATTTTTGGTTTGTCTTTAAGTTTTCTTGATTATCTAATAGTTGATTGTGCCTGATCATTTTAGTACTATCCAAAGTATTTGGGTAAATCATTGCTTCTATAGTTGAAAGTCAGCCTGGTATCTTAATATAGTGTTTTTTTCCTAATTTTATGCCAAATCTCTATTAATGCATCTCTAATTAAATGTTTTTAACATGTAGACATGTCTTATTTTTCTTCTCCCACAAACTGGCATGCCATCCAATTTGTAGATCATGTCTTAGAGTTAATGGTCTCTTATTATTTAAAAATATCCATTCTCTAATCCAAATTAGTGTTGCTGCCTGGTCATAACTTTTGAACGGTTGTTAAACAATGGTCATAAGTCAAGGACATTCAACATCAAGAAAAGAGCTAAATGTTCAGAGTAGGGATCTTAGGTTATTGGTGCTAAAATGTACACAGATATTAAGTCGGCTGTTAGAAACTGTAAGCATTAATTCTTCCAATTAAAAAAGTAAGACTTGTGATCTATTTAAATCTCTTTATCAGAGATTACTTTGCCCATAAATCCAAGGATAAATGTTCATGCAAAGATAATTGCTAGACTCAAGCTAAACCACATTCATATCGATGTCTTAATCCCACATTAGCCAAGAAGGTGTTTATATGCAGGTCTATTTAAATGGTTATCTGATTGTCCCTTTATGATTGTCATAAACTGGAACAAGGTGATTGTGGATTAGTTGTTGGGAGTTTTTCTGAGCTAATTAACTGTGCTTTTAACCTACAAGTCTCAAGTCAACAACAAATAAAAGTTACTTGCCCCTTGGTGCAGCCAGTGGGCAAAGTAAACAGCAATAATTCGATCAGGGCCACAGTATGTTTTTACTAACAAGTTCAGTCTATTTTTTTTCCTGCAGTTCGTTGTTAATTCACTACTTAAGAAAGTAGAACAGAGTTGGAAATTTTCTTTGCTCAACTAAAAGGCAACAGTTTGGTTTTGTTACTGCTAAAAGATGCAGTCTTAAGTTTTGTAAGTGAATCAGTGACACAATAAATGCATCCTAATTTGGAATTATTTCATTCTTCACTATCTGAATAGCTAGGCAGTGATGGTCTCTTCCTCCTGATTGTCAGCGAAGAATGAATAGATCCTTAGTTTCAGAATGAGTTGCAAGAAAAACGAAGAAAGAGAATGAACCTTAATTTTGCAGTCAGCAGTTATTTCATACATTAAGGGGAGATCACCAAGAAGCAGAATCATTTCAAGGAAGAGAATTGCATTGCAAGAGAAAAATCTTGGCACTCTAGAGTTTACAGTCTGAAGGATACCTTTATAATTTTAACTTTGTGTTTGGGGCTTGTTCGGAAGAAGATGGAAACCTGGAGGAGGAGGGGAAGAAGAGATGTACATGAGACAGTGATTTTGTTTGAGGTGAGTTGCCCAATCCCATATTCTCATGACTCCTTCAACCCACGGTTACATTTTTGATTCTTGAAGACAGCGTCGAGTCATCGATGTTCTCCAGTTCCTCCCCAGACATAGCGTTCATTTTCCCATTACAAAGACCAATGTTCTTCCCTGCAAGGAAAGAAATCCATTAAGCACATAATGGTAGGTTTAACTTGTACAAACCACGTGCGCATTAAAGAAATGGCTCATTATGATTCAAAAGGGGCCACATTTTTAGTGTTTCATTTCAAAATTGGACCTCTTCTGAGACCTTTCGTGATCGAGGCATTCTGGATACCTCTAGGCTTTTCCTTGCTGTGTGATTCTCTGGCTGCATCTCTTGAGTGAAAGAACCAATAGATGATCTCAAGGAAGCAGCCAAGGATGTTAGCTTGGAGCCGGATTTAACTCTATTGGAGCTCTTGGAAAGAAGTATCTATGCAAACTTCTTCAGAACTTCAGAGAAGGAAATCTGGAATAAAAACAAAGCTACGATCCTGCAAAGTTTTAATTTTTGCTGTTGATATTGGATTCTCAAAAGGTTGCAGGACCATGACATGTGACTTCTTTGGAGTTGGCAAGGGAGGAGAAAGAGATCTGCCTTTTCTGAAATGATTAGCCTCTCCCTTCATGAAATCACATCATGCAGATGACAAATGGTTGAAGATCTCTGACTTGTTAAATGAGCAGGGTAAAGCCATTTGTAATTAAGAAAATAGTGGTGTTGCATGGGAATTTTTTGCACTGTTGGGTTAGATTAGAAGAAGGCAGCCTTGCTGTGTCCAACCTGAACCTTTCAGCCCAGTTTCATCTTTATCTAAGATGAAATCAAGGTAAGGATCAAATAGGGCATTCCATTCTAAAAATAAAAATAAAAATGCTGTATTCCATGTCTTGCTTACCAATCGCCAAAGCTGTTTCAAAGGCATCTCCAGTTATCATTTTCACAGCTACACCTGAGCCATTGAGAACTTCAACAGCTTCTTTTACGCCTTCTCGTGGGGGATCAATGATTCCAACTAGACCCAAAAAGGTCAATCTGCCAAGTTCTGGGCCAGAAGCCAAGGCGAGCACTAAGATGAGAATAAGAGACTGGAAATAACGACGAACCATATTACTTTTTATTTAAATTACTGGCATGGAGTGGCCTCTGGAAAATTTGGAAAAACGCAGTTGGTACAGAACATTGCAACTTGATTCTCTGCTACCAGGTCATGTTTGACTCATCTTATTTCAGTTGCACTGGCTTCCAATTTGTTTATTCATCCAAATGTTTTAAAAAGTATCTAGATTTTGCCCCTTGCCTATAAAATAAACTCTTCAGAACCAGGATATTTAAATTTAAATTTCTAAAAGAATCTTCTACTAATCTACAATGTTTGTAAGAGGTGCTGTTTTACGTCCCGTTATTGAAAGAAGCTGGGACTGATTTATTTACTTAGTTCAAATACTTCTAGGTTGCTTCAGTCATGACACTAAACACACTTGCTGTAATATAAACAAAGTGTCAAAGCTATATTACAATCACCATAATAATAAAACAATAGCATATAAAACTTCCAACTATAATAATTCATAATCCAGCTATTGCAAATGAATTATCAGGCTTAGCCCAAGAACACCATAAAACAACCCAGCTAAAGCTCAGTCCTTTATTTGCTTATGCACAATAGACAGAATCTTGCCAGATTAAACCATTACTACATGCCTACATGAGAATGAATGGCAGAGCCTGGGACCCGAGTCAAGAGACGAATCAGCCTAGAGTCTCAACATTCCCACAAGTGGTTTAAATCTAATGCCTCTTAAAATCCATTGACCCTTATGTAGGTCAAAATAGTTCTAATCATTAACTGACTAGGTTTGTTGTAACCTATCGGCTACTGGCCCTTCCAGCAACTGAATCCGGAGCAGGAGGAAGCATGGGAGCCAGGATCAGCATCAGTGCCAGGGGAAAGAGGGAATGGAGCTGGCAGAGAGAGAGAGAGAGGCACAGGCAGAGCCTGGGCTGTCCTTCAGTCTTCCGATGGAGAGTCAACTGCCCCCAAGTTTGGAGGTGGCTGATGAGGAAGAGAAGGGACAGTTGGGTCCAGTGCCTGACGCGCGGCTGTGCAGAAGGCAGAGGAGAGGAGAGTGGTGGAAATCTATGAGCCGGCCCTTGGGACAGAAGAGCCACCGCTGCTAGCGAAGCCCCACCCTAGCTCTGGGGATCAAAGGCCGACAACTATTCATCTCCCTACCCGATGGACTGTTTAGCCTGCATTGAGAGAGAAACTTATTCCTTGAGCTCCTAATAAAGGAATCTTTGGAGTTCACACCAGAGGGTTTGTCGTGTTTGGGGAGCTGGGCCAGAACAAGATTCCTATCCACAGGCATGAGCAATGAATCAATTTAATTGGAACTAATGTGTTGCCTTGCTCTTATGCTCCTGACAATGCCCTGGGGTATTAGCTGTTCTAAATCTCTTCCTCTGACCCAGCTTTAGACTGGGCTGCATCTTGTCTCACCCCTCTGCTTGGAATGTGGTCCTTCCTAGGAAGCCACCACCTCACATCCAAAGCACCATTCACAATCAAAATACCATGGCCATCCATCACCTCCACTGTTGACATTCCTCTCTCCAAATGCTCTTTGAAAGAGCTTTTGTGAGCATGGAGAGGTCTTTCCGATAATGCTCCATTACTCCATCCTTAGTATGAAGCTATTTACTTTAGATGGCTAAAGACTCTGGTTTTGCTCAAGAACCTTCATTTGTCGAGGACGTAAGATTGGGATAAAATGAGGCACAGGCACAGACTGACCTCGCAAGCCAAGGGAACCCATGCACTTTTCTTCTTGGGCGTAGGAAGCTTTCTGTTTGGGAGTCAAGGGCAGAGCAATCCCTCTGTTGTTGAACATGGTACAATGCTGCATCACTTCTTTAAAGGCCCCTTTCATGAAGTAGATGTCTTCTTGATCCTGAGAAAGGAGAAGGTGGAAGATACCACCAGGAGAACATCTAGAACCATTGACCTTTTTACATCCCAAATTAAGTTGTTTATTATATACACAATATTTTTTAAAACACGGCACGCTGCATCATATTAAGAAAGGAAATATTTTGTTTCTCCAACTCAGCTTGTGTTGGAGACGGCAGAGAAATGAACCTTCATGCTAAGCTAGGTTGTAGTTTATTTGACTGGTTTAGGATGTGGTTTGAATCCCACAAGGATATAGGAACTTAGAGCACCATTTTTGGAAAGCCCTCTGGATTTGCCATATCCCCCAGTCTTGAAGGCCATCAAGCCAACTTGGGTCAACTCTGCTGAGCTTTCCTTAAAAGGAGTTGTGAGGATCAAAAAGAGGAAAAACCATGGGATATAAAAGTGACTACATGCCTTTAACTGGAATAAATTCCTACAAGAATGATTTCTTTAGTTTCTAAGCTTGGTCTACAACGAAAACCCACGCAGTTGCTTCCTTATCTACCTGGTTTTTCAAAGCACACTTCACAGCCATCCATTTTTGCTCCGAGCTAAAGGGAATCTCTTTTGTTCGCACATAAGTATTGTTTATATCACCCAGGTCCATCTAAAACAGATAAGAGAAGGACAGAATGTCAGCATGAATTCATTATTCACGGCGTTGGTTGAACTAGACTAGATCGACACAAAATTGCATCAGCACCCCTCCGGTCAAAAGCTGAATATTTTAGTGCTGAATGTCTATGTTGCTTTTGAACGGCAATGTCAGGCTTTGGAAAAGTAGAGGTCTTCTTGATCCTTATCAAACCAGGGCTATTTAGTCTGAGTTTTCTTTTGAACGCTAAACTTCCTTTATCCATCGTGCTTTATTACAAACATGCAAGCAGACTGTGTTCCCAGTTAGGTCACCTTCCTGATATCTCAGGGGCTTCCACAAAGAAGATGGAGTCAAGCTATTCTCCAAAGCACCTGGGGGCAGGACAAGAAGCAATGTGTGGAAACTAATCAAGGAGAGAAGCAACCTAGAACCAAGGAGAAATGTCCTGACAGTTAGAACAGTTAACCAGTGGAACAACTTGTATCCAGAAGTTGTGGGTGCTCCAACACTGGAAATTTTAAGGAAGAGATTGGACAACCATTTGTCTGAAATGGTACAGGGTTTCCTTCTTGATCAAGGAGTTAGAAGATCTCCAAGGTCCCTCCAACTATTCTAATTCTAATTCTAATTCTAATTCTAATTCTAATTCTAATTCTAATT